AATGAACGCTCGCCGCCACCAGATGCTAAGAGGGGCGTGGCAGTTTGGATCTGCTGACACCGTGACTTCAGGCCTCTGGCCTCCAGGACAACAAGAGCATTAATTTCTGTTGTTTTAAGCTGCCTGGTCTTCGGGAAAGTGTTAGAGCAGCCCATAGGAAACTAATACAGGTTTTCCTAGAGTTACTGGGGAGTGGGAGGTAATTAGAAACTTAGGAAATACAGCTTACAAACTACACCTGAAGGGCAAATCATTATTTGCTGAAGCAAGTGCTATACAATTCAGTCTTGGTGTGTGATTCAGAGAGCACCCCGAGGTTGTTTAGAGCCTCAGTTACTTCTTAGGACACGGCATTTTTATAAAACATGTTAGAAAACATGGAGACTATCTGAGAGGTTTTATCCCCCTCTTGATACAATCCAACTTTCCAATTCCCTGACACCCCCTGGGAGTCATGCAATGCACTTCACTTCCGACACGAACTACCTGGAGTCTGTCAGTTGCCACAGGTTTAAGGGCAAGGTTGCACAAGATGTCCTCACTTCTGACACCTGTCGCAAGTATTGGGTCCCCAGGTTACTCCCACTTCTGTCCAACTTGGCAACAAATTTGTTGGAGTCCCACAGCTCCCTTTCTCAGATTTGATAATTTTCTAGAATGGCTCAGAATTCAGGAAGGCACTTTACTTATGGATTTAAATTTACCAGTTTATTTATAAAGGACACAAATGAACAGCCAAATGGACATAGAGTGATGTCTGGAAGGGTCCCGAGCATAGGAATCTCTGTCCCCATGTAGTTGGGGTGTGCCACCCTCCTGCCACAGGGATGTGGTCACCAACTCAGAAGCTCTCAGAACCTCATTGTTTAGGGGTTTTTATGGAAGTTTCATTACATAGGTGTGATTGATGGAATCATTGGCTCTTGGTGATTAACTCAATCTCCAGCTCCTCTCCCTTCCCTGGGGACAGGGATGGGGCCAACAGTTCCAAGCTTCTAACCAGGCTTGGTTTTTCTGGTGACCCGTCCCCATCCTGAAGCTATCCTGGGTCCTGTTCAGAGTCCCTTCATTAGAATGGAAGAGGCTCCCATTACCTTTATCACTCAGGAAATTCCAAAGGTTTTAGGAGGTTTGTGCCAGAAAGAGGGGACAAAACCCAAATATCTTTCTATAACCCCACAATATCAGATTACGTTTTCTGAATGTTTGGATAAATTGGGTTTGCTATGTATTTTGACTTTGAGACTCGAACAAAATATTAAAATCTTTTGAAGTGCGTAAAGATAAAAGATACACGGTCTTGGTGAAGTGATGTTTTGAGTAACCGACAATGTTTAACTGTTTCCTACTTCTCAGAAGGAAATGTTCTTCCTTACAGACCTCAAACCATTTATAATTACTTTTTGTGTCACTGAAACTGCATATAATACTTTTCTGAGAGCAAACCTTCCCCCCCCCTTTTTTAGGAAGATACTTAAAATTATCATTCTTTATACAGTTTTGGAAAATAATCATCAAATCTTTAGTCTTACGTACTTTGTGGTGCTTTCAGTCTACAAGAAGTCTTGTTACCTTTCTCCCATCTCTGCTTCTTCTAAGCCATTATATTAATACATCAAGGCTATGTTTAAACAGTAAAGAGTCATTCTGGCAGGAAATGGAGTGGTGCTAACAGGAATCAATGCTCTATCCCAGGGGCCTGGAAAGAATTAGATACCATTATAAATATTTGTTTAGCAAAGGGTAGGTCACACAACCATAAACACAACTTAAAGCAAATGGGATTTTGCCACTATCTGAATTGTTCTAGATAAAGTGTTTTTTTTTTTTTTGCATAAATTCTCTAGAGTAGAGATCTCCATCTGGTTAATTACAATCCATATATAGGTGAAGTGTGATTACAAGTCTGTAGAGAGGGTAATAATGATTTTTCTTCTGTTTATTAATTTTATGATTTTATACTTTTGCAGAACAAAGAGATATTCTGCCTTTTATATACCTACGTATTCTGATAGTTTTGCCAAGGGTTTCTAACAATTACACGTTTTTTTTTTGTTTGTTTGTTTGTTTGTTTTTCCCCACTCTGAGAAGTTTTATGTTCGGGAGTCATGTTCTACCGTCCTGGTTATAAGCTTATCATTAATATCATGCTCCCTTGCTTCTAAGATGCACATTTTCTTCCCTTAAAAACAAAACAAAACAAAAACGGAGCCCATATGACAGTCACGTGTATACTGGATGCAGTTTCTGACGTCTTTGCCCACCCCCATTGTGCATATTAAATAGATGGTACCCTTTAAAGGAGGGACATTTGAGAACAGAAGAAACGGTGTGCTGATTGCCTTTTGGAAGGTAACACCAGGCATCTGCCCGCGGCCCACTGGGTTGCTAGGTGGTGATCCCAGCAGGGAAGCAGCTTTCAGGGTGCCTGGAGCCCGGAGCAATCAGGTGAAGTGGATGGAGAGTTCCTGGTGGCTGATTAAAATCAGTATTCATTAGACAACATGTTGCTATTTTGAAACTAGTTCCACACACGTTTTTGTGCTTTGTCTTCTCAGCTGCCTTTACCTGCCCAGTATTAGAAACTGAAGCAGTGATTTCATGACCTTTGGATGAATGATCTGAGCAAGGACTCTATGTGGGTCTTTGCCTTCCTGTTCCTTGCTGTTCTTTCCCTGCCACCCTGGGCCCCGCCTGAGTTGGAGTGGGATGGCTTCTGTCCCCTCCGCTCTCTCTGTGGATTGTATTCGATGGCCCTTCATCTCTCTGCTGAGGACTCACTGTCCTCATTACGATCTCTGCTTTCTTCTCTCTGTAAGACTTTACAGAATCAGAGTTTCTGATCCCTCTGGCTCTCCCATCCCCTGTCTACGACAAAAGCCCGAAATGTTCTCCATATTTTCCCCATGAACATGAAAATACAAAAATCAGGATATTACTTTCTTTCTAGACTTTCTTGCAGATTCTCATGCTTGTTTTGACTCTGAAATAAAATACGCATCTGCATGGGTTTTTTGTGTCACTAATCCTTTGCTTATCTTTTCCTATCAAAGTGCTCCTTTGTTCTTATGTTAAGGTTTTTCTTTTCAATTTTAGGATTTTTGTTTTGTTTTGTTTTATGATCTCAGATTCCAAAGCATTTATTTATTTATTTGAGAGAGAGAGAGAGCATGAGCAGGAGAGGCAGAGGGAGAGGGAGAGAATCTCAAGCAGACTCTATGCTGAGCGCAGAGCCTGATGTGGGGCTGGATCCCAGGACCCCAAGATCACTACCTGAGCTGAAACCAAGAGTTGGACACTCAACTGGTTGTGCCACGTAGGCGCCCCAAAGCAGTTTTTATTTATACAATTTTAATAATAGTTGTGACATAGGAATGTTAATCTTCCCTAAAGAAAGGAATGAGGTTTGTTACAAAGTTAAGGTTTGGCCAGAGCCTTACAAGAATTTGTTTGAGGCATAGTGTTGATTATCTTTATCCTCTGCTTTGACTTTGCAGATGAACAGATCTTAAATTAATATCACCAGAGTACAGTTCTTGCAGTTTTGGCGGTAACCTTTCCTGCAGGCTTATTTGCTTACTGTGTAGCACATCTTCCCTTATTTTCACATCTCTGTGACTTGGGCAGAGGTTATTTTAATTCCCATTTCATAGATACGGAAATTGAGATATTAATTTCTAATTAAATTGATTGCTAATAATAACTTAGTGAGCTATTTTTGTGTACCGGACTTTGTGCTGAGTGTTGACATGCATCTTTAAAAAAACAAATCTTCACAGTAATGTCAAATAACAAAAGACACAACTGCAAGCTGCAGAATTACATATGTGTGTTTATTTGCTGTCTTAGGGATTGCAATCCAGGAGACAGGGGATTCGACCGAAGTTGAAAACATGCTCTGGAGAGACAAAGGAGGATAGAGTTTTTAAAGAAGAAAGAGAAGGCTTACATAAATTGTTTTGAAGAAAAGGTGTTTGGTCCTGGTTTAAGTACAATTACATTAAGCTACGTGTGATTGGTTGCTAGCACTCATGTTAGAGAGAAAGTCTGTTTGTGTCTGTTATGACATAAATAGATGACTTGGCTTTTAGCTGAGTTCAGCAAAAGAAATTCTGAGAATTTGGGACAGAAGATGTGCCTGAGCCCCACCTCATCAGTGTCCTCCCAGCTCCATTTTCAATAACTCTCTTAGCAGCGGTCATTTCATTTATTCGTTTCGTTGCACATTGACTTTTGAGAAAGATACTCTTATTATCCTCATTTGACACAGGGGAGGGAAATGAGGTTTTAAGAGGTTAAAAGACAATTAATGCTATGTACCTACTAAAGATGGAACCAAGGTCTTTGTCGCTCAGATGAGGATAGTGGGAGGAGGAAGTGTGGAAATGGGATCGAACATGTGTGGCAGAGAATCTGTGATGAATGATAGGAATGGGGTCTGAAAGAGACAGGTTGTTTCTTGGCATGTGGGTGGGAAGCAGAGACAAGGGGAGGGGCTCAGTAGCAAATAGGAGCAGAGTTAGAAATGCATGTAACTCCCTTTGGAGCTAGGCTGGTATCCTTGAGACTTCTAATTGAGGATATCACCTCCCTCTGTCTTGTAACTTCACTTTGCTTTGTGACTAGTGTATTGTGTGACTTAGAACAAGGCCATGTGGACACCAGCTTAGAAGGTGTGTGACTTCGAAATGAAAATACTTCCCGGCTCTGTCAGTTTATCTGTAAAATGAAGGGACTGGATTAGGTGATCTGTAAAATCCCTTCCAGAACCGACACCTTATAATTTACAGAAATTGTTAAAAATGGCAGAATAAATTCAAAACGTAAGATTTGAATGTAATGGTTTTCCTACTCTTTTTTCTTTCTTTCTTTTGAAATGATCTTTTTAAAAGGCATATTTTCAACTTGTCTTTTCTAGAACTTTATTTTAGATGGGTATTGGGCTTCACATTTTTGTCTTAATTCTATCACAATAATGCAAAACCTTTTCTCCCCCCTAGGCCCTGCAGGAGCAGCTAAAGATGTGTAAGTAGTTAATATTATGATTTTCTAAACTCTTTTTGAGGAAGACGCTGTTTTTCATGATCGTGACCTTTCGATAGATGTAGGTATGCCTGAAAAGATATGGGAATACATGCTATATTATGCAAAAATCAAGATTAGCATCTAGTTTATAACTAAACTGCTATTTGAAGAATATCATTGTGTTATTACTTATTCTGTTATTATTTATTCTGCCTTTCAGTTGCCCTAGCACTGTAACTCAGAACTTTAAGAGAGGGAAATGTTTAATTGTGCTTCCTTCCCAACTTGTGCTGAGATTTTTTTCTAATTGAAAGCAAGTAGGTATGGCAGAATTAATTAAGCACATAGCTCCTGTGACTATGTGTTAGAGTGAGTCAGTGGGGAGAGGCTGGGGCAAGCATGTACCAAACACACATTGAATTGTTTTAAAGTTGATGATTAGATATTTGAGTGAATGTATATGACCGTTCAACCTAGTCAAACCACAGGACATTTAATCAAGGGGCAGGTATCTCCCGAGGAGATGTTCCTGGAGCTCAGGAGCCCTTCTAGTATTTCCGTCATGCTCCTTCTCTGCATCTTTCCACACCTCATCTAGAACAGTATGGACATTGCAGTAGTTCACTATTTAAAAGTGTTTGTGGTTACTCCGTGGAGAGTGGATGGACCCTGCCCCACCCACCCACAGTTGGTTTGGATGTTAAGACTGATGGTCACACACACACCAAGGAGGGCACGAAGATTTCTTACTCACATAAAATGAGGCTTTCTCGGGGAGCAGGGTAGGCACCCAACTGGCCCATTCATCTTGAGTGAAGGAAGGGGAGGGGAGAGTGGCTTTGGTTTTTATTGCCGTTGGGAGTGGGGCCGGTCGAGGGCTTCTGTGCATGGGCGAGGTTTGCATGGTTTTATCCTCCCCACCAGCACAAAGGAAGGCATTCCCTGGCTTTCTAATCAGCTTGCACTGATGTGAGGCAGAAGGGGGAGTGGTTGGACTTGAAAGCTGTCAGTGGTGAAACATCAGAAATAGAGTCAGATTTATTATTATTATTATTATTATAAAGAGGAATTCAGAGAAGATGAGAATGGGATTGTAAGGTTTTTCAGGAGTTAAATATGTATTTTCTATGGGACTTTAGGATGTCAAAGAAGCAAGATACATTGTTTCAAACTCCTGGTTGCACTGTTTGAGTTTATTACCAAAACATGTAGCAACAACCAGTTTAGCATCCTTACCCTGTTTCTTTCATTGCAGTATCTGGTCTCTCCTTTCCATTTCTATACATTATGGCCAGATTCATTTCCTCAAGCACTCCCCTACCCTTGTAGGACCTCTGCTCAAAAACTTGTAATTATTCTCCATTGACCGCTGGACTGAGCCCAGAATCCTTTGGGAACAGGAAGGCCATTTATGTTTTTAGCTTTTCTCTGACGGACTCTGCATGAGGTGGAAGGAAGCACTGCAGTGGGAGTGAGCAAGGCCGAGGATGAGAAGTGAGCTGACCTGCTGCACTGAGACCTCTTGCAGGGCCCAAACTGACCTCCCATGTTCTGCCTCAGTTTCTGCTATTCCCTCTGCCTGGAATGGCCTTTTTCTCAATTCTGTTTGTAAAAAAATCTTAGCTATTCTTCAGGGCTTCTGTCTTGTTCTTTGCAAGAAGAACTTTTTGGATCTCTCAATTGGATAGAATGTCTTTTTCTTCTGAACTTTTAGAGCATTTTGGACCTTTCTTATGACACATCATATGGGGCTTATATTGCAGTTATTTATCTTCTTGTCCCTCTTGGGCAGTGAGGGAAGTGAAATGTCTTACTCATCTGAATGTCTCCCATAGTTATAGTATCGTGTTTTGAACGTGGTGTTTAATGAACAGTTGCTGAGGAATCCCATCATTTCTATTCAAGGAGAGATTGATGTCTTGACTTCTTTCTTTTAGAGGCATGGACATTTCTAATAAAATTTAGTGATGCCATTGTCAACAAAATTAACTATTCCACGATGGGAGATGCCACTTAATTACTTTTTGAAATCCTGAATTCTCTGGATTTAAATTTTCTGTGACTATATATACCTCATTGTATGTCCTAGGAAGATATAATTTTATTTAATAATTGACCCTTTTAGAAATAAAGGTAGTAAACTAGAAAAGTTAAAAGAATATTAGTGTATTATTTTTCCTTGCACAAAAGTATATTCAAATATGTTCCTTTTTTAAGTAGAAGGTATAGACTTATAAATCTTGATTATGAGTGAACAAGGAGCTAAGAAATTAAGACAATTTAAACTTTTTATTATGAAGATCTAAAAATTTCATTTCTAATCTAGAGAGACTGATCCCAAACCAAAAGAAGTGGCCAAAATCACATAATGGGTGCTAAGAAGTCCAGAATTTTAAATAGGGCAGCCACCACATTATACAGGCAACATAAGTCTTTTGTGGGGAGTGGGAATTATGGTTATTTTTAGGCGAGAGAAATACTATAGTTACTCTCTTAATATAAAAAAAAATCCATTCTCTAGGGAAGGTTTGTGATTTTTACTGTCTCCTCTTTCCTGTTTATTTGCCGATTTTCTACAGGCAGGAAGCCAGGATACAATAACAGATAAAATGACACTTCTGCCCTTAAGTAGGTTAGTGTCTACTGGGGACCAAAGTACAGTGTGACAAGTGCCAATTATTGACACGGTCAGAACTTAATGCCGGTTTGGGTCTTGAGGGGTGAATAAGAGTTCGTGCAGAGAAGGGAAGAATGGCAGCCCAGAGCAGAGGAAAGAGCATGACAAGAGGCTCATGGGTGTAAGAAAACCTCAACTCTCCTGCAAGGAGCCTGTCAATTTGTTCTGGAGCCCATGGGGCGTGTTCTGCAGAGATGAAGGATGAGGCCAAGGGGCTGGAACTGGCTTGTGAAGGGCCTTTGGTGCCAGACCAGTAATTCCACTCGATATTGTATGCATTCAAGAACCATTAGGAATTTTAAGGTGGGGGGAAGGCAATGATTATATTTGCGCTTTAGGGTGCTAAGTCCCAAAGCAGTGCGGTATGTGAGGTGGGGGAAGGGTGGAGTCACAGGGAGGGAAGGCCGTGAGGCCACCAGGGGGGCAGACTTCCAACAGTAGCAATGGGAGAGAGAAGAGCCGATGTGTTCAAAGTATGCTTGGAATATGATAAAGATTTGTTGAATGACAGAACGGGGAAGGAAAGGAGAGGAAAATCTGCGGATCACGCTGCGATTTCAAATCTGAGCCCAGGGAAGGGATGGCCGATAATCCAAAGAGGTCAGCCGGGCTACTGGGGGAAGAAAAACCACTAGGCACCTGGGGGACTATAGTTTACATCGAGGGGTGTGAGTAGTAATTGAGTGAAAGTGGAAGTGGGCGAGGAGTGGGGAGGTGGTACATCGCCTCTCTTCTTACAGGGTTTGCCAGTAAGGGCGGGAAGGATGTTAGCAGGTTAAAGATGGTGATGGACAGAAGTGCTGAATCACTGTATTGTGCACCTGAAACTCATATTACACTGTATGTTAACTAACTGGAATTTACGTAAAAACTTTTTAAAAAATTAAAAAAGGAAGCATTTTAAAAAATATATTTCTGTTAGAAAAGGAATACCTAGAAAATTTGAAAAATATTTTTTTGAAGAAAGAAAACATCGGCTCTTATCTACCACCAGAGACAGCCACCATTAACATTTTACACGCTTTTCTTCTGTTTCTTCATTTCTTCTGTTTCTGCCCCGTTGGGTGCATGGATGATCTTGTGTATGGAAGTTTGTTTCGCTTTTTCTGTTTGTTTATTTATTTATTTATTTATTTATTATTTTTTATTAACATATAATGTATTATTTGTTTCAGGGGTAGAGGTCTCTGATTCATCAGTCTTACACACATACCCGTGGACTCCAGGGTAGGAATCAGTGGAGTGAGACGTGTTGGGGGTGGCTTGGGGACGGGGTCATCTGTGAGGAGGGGGATCTGTGATGGAAGTGAATCCCAGAACAGGTGGGAAGGCTCAACAACTTATGAGGTTAACCTTAGAAACTTGAGATGAGGGAAGTAGGGGTGAAGATTCACAGGCACACCCCCCGTTTTATTGCACTCTGTGGATAATGCATTTTTTACAGATTGAAGTTCTCTGTCCACCCTGCATCAGGCAAGTCTATTGGAGCCATTTTTCCAACAGCTTTTGCTCACTTCCTGTCTGTCATGTTTGGGTAATTCTCACAATATTTCAGAGTTTTCCATTGTTAGGTTTGTTATGGTGATCTGTGATCAGTGATTATGACTTGCTGAAAGTTCAGATGATTGTTTGCATTTTTTAGCAATAATGTATTTTTTAATTAAGGTATATACATTGTTTTTGTAGACATAATGTTATTGTACACTTAATAAACTATAGTATAGTGTAGTTATAAAAACATAATTTTTATATGCACCGAGAAACCAAAAAATTCATGTGACTCGCTTTATTGTGATATTCCTTTTATGGCTGTGGTCTGGAACCTAGCCTGCATTATCTCTGAGGTATGCTTGTATAGAAATTGAATCACTGCAACACAGACTCATGCATATCAGCAAGTGAGTCTTTCTTATTCTCTCTTCCTCTGTCTCTTCAAAATTAAATCACAGTGCTGTAACATGCAAAACAAAATAGACATGAATTCAATGTGACGACATTTGGCTGCTTTCACAAACCTGGAAAAATCAACCATTTTATTTCAGTGAATTATCTTAGCTATTTGGCACAAATAAGTTGCATTGGGATATTTTTGGTTGGAAATGGCAGAAGTCCAGCTTAAACTGGCCTAAACAAACAAACAAAAAGGAATTTCTTGGCATGTGAAATGGAAAAGCTCCAGGGGTTTGGCCCCAGTCACAGCTGGATCCAGGTGATCAAATGACAGGAAGAAACTCATTTCTGCTTTATTGTTTTGGGCTCCATTTTTAGGAAGCTTTCCCCAAGTGGTAATGGAGATGGTCATCTCTTAGCAGCTTAATAACTCCTGTGGAAAAAGAGCTTTTCTTTCCCAGGAGTGTGATCAAAAGTCCTGGGGCTAGGGCTCTCCCTGCCACAGCATGAGGTCATGTGCCTCCCTCTGAATCAACCAATGAGCCAGGGGAACATGGGTTTCTCATTGGCTAGGCCTGGGTCACATGCCCACCACTGGAGCCAACCAGCACCGTTAGCTCCACCTGACCAGGTGGTCAAAGTCTGGGAGAGTGGCTAAAGACAAATCTGGATGCTGTTACCCAAATGGAAGGCACTTAAAACTGGGCAGGCAGCAACAAAGTATGTTCTGCAGTAGGTCGATTTTCATGTTATTAAAAGAATTTCTTTATTTAAATTTTAAGCAATATTTATGGGACTATTACAAACATGTTTTAGTAAGAACAGTATGAAATAAGTTGACACGAATTTAACGTTTGCTGTTGAAAATGAAAGATTATAGCCACTCAGTTTAAACAAGGTAAATCAAATACGTCTTTCACTTAAAACTCGTATGGTGACATTTCATGAAGATTCCTTTCTTGACAAAGCAATTCTGTCGTTATGGAAGGTAGTGACTATAGAGAAGAATATCTCAGAATGAATGAACACAGCACATCGAAGCACCACCTTTTACATAAAATGAAATTATGAGTCTTTCATCTTGAGTGTCTTTGGAATCCTTTATGGATTTCTCATGCCCATGCATCTGTCAGCTGAGCCCTCTTTAGTTCTCCTTAAAAACCTGAGGGTATCTGATGGGCTTACTCCTCCTCCTGAAGGAGCAGGAGGTTGAGGAGGATGGTGCGGAAATGGCATTGAAAAAGCATGTGTTTTGGAAGCAGGGAGACCTGCATTTGAACTTCCTACCACCACTTACCAGCTGTGTGGTATTGTGTCCTCAGTAATCTTGGCCATAAAGTTGGGATAATAATAAGTGTACAGGGCAACCATCTTCATCCTTATCATCATCATTCTGTTACTAGAGCTGCCCTTTTTTGAGGACCGCATGCCATATAGTGATTATGCATTATCTCATTCTGTACCCGCGACAATCTGATGGAGATAGTAATGCTGTTTCATTTTGCAAACGAGGATATGGGGCACAGAGAGGTTAAGTAACTGCCCAAGGGTTGTGGTAATTATTAGTACAGTATATTTAGTATCCCGGGGTAATACTTAGCATTATGCTTTCCTGCTGCCCATAAATAGTAGCTAGGATTATTAGATGTTTTAAATGTCGTTGAAAAGACTTGGCAGAGGCTCTGTCATGAATAGGACAGGAGAAGAACCACTGCATAGCTGAAGTTAAGAAACACACAGTCCCATTGTTGGTCTATCAGTACATGGTCAGATTCTCTTTAGGTAGGGCCAGTGCAGTAGGAACAGGAAGAGAGAAAACAGATGGGTGCATTCATTCCGGGACAGTGAGAGATGGGTGGTGACCAGCAAGTGTTGCCAAAATGCTTGGCTGCAAGGCACGAGCTAGAGAAGGGGAGCCCTACAAGGCTGAGGAATGGAGAGAGCGGGAGGGAGGCTGGACTGGAGGCTTCTTAGGATGGATCGGGGGAGGGGAAGAGTGGAAGGATGATTTTTTTCCCCCCTTCTAGGGAGTGAGATTGTCTACTGTAAAATGTCAGAGGTGAAGTAGTTCCAGGAACTAAGCTCCTCAGAGCAGTCATGGGAGTGAGTTATTAGCGTAGCGGTACAAGTTATTGGAAGAGAGTAAGTCAGCAAAATGTGAAGCAAATGTTAATTGGGTGATTTTCACGGAATTTAAAATGATCCAAGATAATGATGGTTCAGAAGAAAACCTTTGGGTCAGGGCCAAAAATCTTTAGGGTGTTTGGGGCTGCTGTCGCAGGGTTCCAATACCCAGAGGAGAGGGTTTGAGTGAAGGTGCAATCGGTCCCATTTGAAAGAGCTTTGTGGGGAGGTTGGGAGCCTGCGGGCTTCATCTTCTGTTTGGAGACACTGGGATATTTTGAACAAAGTGATACCATGAAGGAAAAGCAAATTGTCTTAAGGTAAGGAGGTGGAGAGAACATTCCTGTCTTTAGCAAAATGATGCTTCTACAGCCAATGCCAAAATAATCCTGAGCACTGTGTGCTTCTTAGGAGAGCAGAAGGAGGGTAGGGAAATTGCAAATTGGCTCTTGATCCATTGCCTCCAGACAAAGAGTTAATGTTGTTCATATTTTCCAGTAATACCTTCTGGAAGAAAGAAAGGGACCCATACTGGCCAAGGGGCTCATACAAGAAGAGAGATTTAAAGACAGCTGTCCAAAGGAATTTTGGAATTTTGAAGAAATGAATGAGATTACATAGAGTCCAAAATAGTCAATGATAAAATATTAATCCTGTCCAAAATCCGATGTAATTAAGTGGTAGAATTGTTTGAAATCACCCTAAAAAAGCAGAAACCATCATAAGAACATATTATAAAGAAAATTAAATGATTATACTTTATCCGGGGAGCTGTAGTGTCCAGGAAATAAACATTATGAATTAATAAGCCTATTCCAAAATATTATTGTGAATGGCAGCTAAAAATAATTAGAGCTACACACATGGTCTCCAGAGGTTTCCATATTAAGTTTTATTGTTTACAAATCAGAATAAGTTTGGCCTCTTTAGTGATACTGCAAATATGGAAAAAGAAAAGACTGCATGCTGCTTTTCTACTTCTTAGATTATCGCTAATAAGGCTAGCTCTATATTCAGAATGTTTTTCTTGATAAATAAGTAAAAAATAAATCATTTCTTTGCCACATAACCGTGTTCATTCTGAAAGACCAGGGAAATGAGAACTTTGTGAATTTTAAGGCAAGCTGTAGCCAGGCTGAAACAGGAGATGCTAATTGGAGTGGCCGGAGGCTGGCTAATATTTATCATCTGTATTTGTTCTTGAAAGTGCACATAAAGTATCAGTGCTATGGTTCCATTATTTTACCAAGCAAATACAGTGACAAAAATATTTTGACTACTGGGTATTACTGAGGAAGAAAAAGCAGTGGCTTATATTTTATAGAGTAACTCTAAATAAGGTTTCTCTTCAATAAAGTGATAGTTACTGATAAGATGAAAATCACAGTAGAATAACCTAAAAGGTTGAAGTGTTCTATTTGGGTATTTGGTTTTAAACAGGCATTCACAACTATATTCATGCAAAAAGGAGAGGCAGAAGGGAGCCAGCCTGCCCCAAAGAGCAATCACAGACACATAGCTGGTTTGGAGGCAGCTCAGTTTCTGGAATCTTGACTTTAAAGAAGTCAGAGCTTATTTATGTTTAGAGAGAAATTCAGTCTTTCTGGTTCATTTAGGAAAGGTCTACATAGCTGGTGTGAAGCAGATGGATGTGCAGTTACCTAGAGACTCTGGATCAGTGTAGACATTCCATCTGAGAAGGGTTGGAAGTGCGCCGTGCCAGTGCTAGCAAACTCGCAGGAAGTAGGCTAGCAGTATTTGATGGAAATGCTGAGATAGAAGAAAGCAGTTGTGAAACCTGAGGTTAAGCTTAGTTGTGGTGGTTGCCGTTGGTCGGTTGGTTTTTTGTTTTTTTTCTTCTTCTTTTTTCTGACATGCCTGTGAGAGGGCCATGGGTCGGGTCAATTTTGGTGAGATAGGTATCACCAAATAGTCTACTACTCTGCAAGGGTGTGTCATTTTAAACTATCAGCGGAGGATTTATCTTTTCAACCATCTCCAGAGTGGGGGAAATATGTTGACTTGTGGTCCACCCTCAGTAACACTTGTCTCTGCAAACGTTGTTGTTGATGCCATGGCCAAGAACCTGAGTCAGAGTCTGTGAGCATGTCCTCTTACTCTGTGAAATCATCATGAGTCTCAAGGGGTGGCTTTACCCTCGACACATGCTTTCCCTGTGAATATCTAGTCTTTGATAAAAGAAGCTAAATCTT